AAAAAAAAAAATGAGAGACCTGGGATGCAACTCAGTGGTAGAGTGTTTGTCAAGCATTTCCAAGACCCTGGGTTCAATTCCCAGCATCACATAAACTGATGTGAGTTTATTTCACTCAGAAAAAAAATTAAAGCATAAGAAACAATGCAAGCTGACAATAGCAACAATAATATCTACAAAAGAGTATCACAAGCCAGGCACAACTGGCTCACACCTGTAATCCTAGGTATTCAGGAGGTTGAGATCTGTGGACCATGGTTCAAAGTCAGCCCAGGCAGGATAGCCCATGAGACTCTTATCTCAATTAATCACCAAAAACCTGGAATTGGAACTGTGGATCAAGTGATAGAGTGCCAACATAGAGCAAAAAACCTCAGGGACAGTGCCCAGTACCTGCGTCTAAGCCTCAGGACTGGCACTGAAAGAGAAAAACAGAGTGACAGGAGCAAGAGATACTACAGTTAGACAGTGAAAGACATGCTCTACTTTAAAAGGTCTCAAAATAAACTATATTACCAAAGGAGGTTGAATATGTTTTGCAGAAACTTTAGAAACTAAGGACAAAACATGATGGTATTAAATCACCTAGAAACATGAAAAAAATCCTAGAAGTGAATGGCCTTAAAAATGTTTCAGAATCATACTTCTCATAAGTCAGGACCACTATTCTGAAACATTTTCTAACTAATCATAATTAATCAAACTAGGTTGGCACCCTCCACAATGAGCAAACAAAGGCCTAAATTTACAATATCCAGTATGGTAGACAGTAGCTATACATGGTCTTTGCATACTTGAAACATGGCGAATCCAAAGAAAGAGGTGATGCTAAACTGCACACAGGATTTCAAGGACTTAGGTCAGAAGGCTTAGTCCAAAATGGAAAATAGAGAAATGCATAACACGGAATGTGTGTGTTAGAAATAAAGATGGGGGGCTGGGAAAGTGGCTCAGTGGTAGAGCGCTTGCCTTGCATGCATGAGGCCCTGGGTTCAATTCCTCAGCACCACATAAGCAAAAAGAAAAAAGCCGGAAGTGGCGCTGTGGCTCAAGAGGTAGAGCACTAGCCTTGAGTTGAAGAGCTGAGGAACAGCACCCAGGCCCAGAGTTCAGGCCCCATGACCGGACCCAAAAAAAATAAATAAATAAAAATAAAGATGGAGGGCTGGGAAGGTGGCTCAGGGGTAGAGTGCTTGCCTTGCATGCTTGAGGCCCTGGGTTTCGACTCCTCAGCACCACATAAGCAAAAAGAAAAAAGCCGGAAGTGGCGCTGTGGCTCAAGTGGTAGAGCGCTAGCCTTGAGCTGAAGAGCTGAGGGACAGCGCCTAGGCCCAGAGTTCAGGCCCCACGACCGGACCCAAAAAAAAAACAAACAAACAAACAAAAAAATAAAGATGGAAGTAGAGGTGTAGCTCAAGTGATAGAGAACTGGCCTTAAATGAAAAAGCTCATGGCCAGCACCCAGGCATGGTAATGCACACCTAAAATTCCAATAACTCAGAAGGTTGAAGCAGGAAGATGCAAATTCAAAGACAAGGCTTGGCTATATAAGTTTCAACCTGGCCTGGATGAGATCATGTCACAAAAAACAAAACACACAAAAAAATGAAAAAGACACTACAGTTAACATCATACATAACAGTGTAAAACTAGACTCGTTTCCACTAAAAGTGTAAGAGCAGGAATAAGTCTAGGATTTCTTTCTCATCACTGCTTTTTATCTTACTATAAGTCATAGCAAATGAAATAAGGCAAGAAAAGGAAATAAAAGATATAGTGATTGGGAAAGAAAAATTATCACAAATACTATGATTATCTATGGAGAAAATAGCAAAGGATCAACAATACAACAATTTAAAAAACTCCAAAAATGAATATGTTATTATAACAAGATTATAGGATACAAGATTAAGCTAAAAAGGCAATCATTTTCCTATATAGTACCAATAAATAAGCAAATGGAATTTAAAATAAAGCATGTAATTCAATTAACCTCAGAAATGAAATACTTAGATATTAATTTTTTTTTTTTTTGGT